AAGTACATATAAACACTTGACATTAGGCTGAAAAAATAAAAATGTGTGAAAATCATGAGTTATAGCTCAACCATAATAAAAAAAATATGTTGTATTCATAACTAATTGCCATTAGATTGAATGAAAAGTATGGACAAAAAATGTGGGTTAAAACCCATGAAAATCATGAATTTTGAAGCTCACACAATTAATTGGTAAATGGACAAGTAAAATGGACAACAAATCTGGACTATATCCCACGAGAGAACCAAGATTTGGCAAAATTGTTGGTTAACCCATGAAAATCATGATCTTCAAAGAAAGAAAATTTACTTGTCATTTAGTTGAAACTAATGAAAATAACTAAAATTGGGGATTACAGTTCGTAAAAATTATAAAATTTTAACTAGAAGTTCGGACAATTACTTAATAAAAACTTGTGGATTATAGCCTATGAAAATCATGAATATTGAAGTTCAGACAATTACTTAATAAATGACTAAAAGTCTAAAACCATTAAAATAGAGAAAAATCATAGACTATAGCCTATGAAAATCACAAAATTTAAAGTATGCATACTTATTTCCTATGTGGTCGAAGAATGAAAATTGAGATGGAAACATGGGTTACATGCCTTGCAAATCGTGAATTTTAAGAAAGAAAATTTATTTGTCATTAAGTCAAAGTGAACAAAAATTGATAAAACTCATAAGTTATAGCCTTGGTTGCATGGATACATGTGCGGATGTGGATACATGACACTGCAAAATTTTAAAAGATAGGATATGGGGACACAACTATATATACATATTGAATATAATAATTTATATGAGATTGATACTATTTTTTTCATTCGCATGTCAAGAGAACTATAATCTGTGTTATGTTTTTTTTATTAGATAGATTATAAATTTAAAAACCGCTCATTTTTGAACTAGAAACCAAAATGATCCATTAAAATCGTACTTATAAATTGTGTATGGGTTGAAACGAATCTGACCTAAGTCTAACGAGTAGCAAAAATTTGGGGTGAAGTTATACGTCTAATAAGTGTGTTATAAGTGTTTTAAACTAAAACAGGTATTATGTTATTGAGTACACGCCTGAATAAATAGATGCATATATTCAGGAAGTATCCAAGGAGTGTCTGACACGAACACGACATCCTAGATGAAGTGTCCTGTTAACTTAGGTTATAGCATATTAATATCACAAATATTAAAATTTGCATAATTAATTACTAAAAGATCGAAACAAAAAAAATGGTTAAAAAATAATGGACTGTAGACATTGAAAATTATCAATTTCCAAAGTACTACTATTTATTTTTCATTTGGTTGAAAAATGAAAATTGACTACCAATCATGGGTTAAAGACCATGAAAATTACAATTTTTGATGGAAAAAAATCAATTATCATTAGGCCAAAACTAACAAAAATAGGCTAAAATCATGGATAGCCTATAAAAATCACAAATTTTGAAGTACGTATAGTTACTTGTCATTAGCACAAAACATACAAGATTATGAAATTTGTGGCTTATATAGTTCACCAAAATTACAAATTTTTAAGTATTCATAACTAATTGCTATTTAATCGAATGAATAACAATGGATAAAAAACATGGGTTAAAGCCCTTGAAAATGGTGAATATTGAAATTTGTACAATTAATTGCTAAAATGGTCGAAATGAACAAACTAAACAAAAATCATGGACTATAGTCTATGAAAGTAACAAATTTTGAACTACGCATATTTATTTTCTAAAGGGTTGAAGAAGAAAAATTGACAAAATTGGTGATTATAACCCATTAAAATCGTAATTTTTTATGTAAGAAAATTTAGTTTTCATTTGGTCAAAACTAAAGTAAATAAACTAAAACCGTTAGTTATAACTTATGAAAATTATGAACTTTGAAGTACATATAATTACTTGACATTAGAATGAAACAAATAAAAAGTTACGAAAATTGTGTATTATAACCCACTGAAATCGTGAATTTTGAAATAACTATAATTAATTACCCTAAAGCCGATTGAATGATAGTGGACAAAAATCATTGGTGCTCATGAAAGTCACAAATATTGATGTTTGGACTATTAATGCTAAGTGATCTTAAGGGGTGTTTGGTTCACTTTCTATAAGTTATAGGAAATGTTTTCCACCCAAAATATGATTTCCTTGTATTTCTTAAAAAAATATAGGAAAAATTTTAAGAAGTCAAAAAGTATCAATTTTCTTATTTTCTTTACTTTGCTTGTTTGGTTCAAAACAAGAAAATGACCCATAACTTTATAGAAAATTGTTTGGTTCAAAACAAGAAAATGACCCATAACTTTATAGAAAATAGCAAGATTTCCTATAATTTGTAGAAATTGGAAAATGACCCATAACTTTATAGAAAATAGCAAGATTTCCTATAATTTGTAGAAATTGAACCAAACACCACCTAAATTTATAGAAAAGTGTTAACTTTTAGAAAAATATCAATGTGGTGTCAGATTTCTAGGTAATTTCTGTCTATTTTAAGAGAAAATTAATTTCTGTAAATTTTGATACTTCTTTGTACTTTACAGAAAATATTTCTGTAAATTTTTTTGAACCAAACACAGTTTACAAAAATCTACAAAAAAAATTTAATTATAGAATTGCCATTGTCAGACATTTTGAGAACTTTTCTATAAAATTATGCAACCAAACACCCCTTAGTAAACAAGATGGACAAAAATCATGGATTATAACTCATAAAAATCACGAATTTTAATGTAGCATATTTATTTTCTATTGGGTTGAAGAATGAAAAGTAACAAAACTATAGATTATAGACCATGACACATGTAATTTTTTAAAAAAGAGAATTTAATTTCCATTTGGTTGAAACTAACTAAAATAAGCTATAATTATGGGTTATAATCCATGAAAACCATGAATTTTGAAGTATGGATAGTTAATTGCCATTTGAGTGAGATGAACAAAAATTGCAAAAATCTTTTATTATAACCCACAAAATCATGAATTTTGAAGTATTCATAATTAATTGTTGTTGAGTTGAATTAGTGATAATGAATAAAAATTGTCAGTTAAAGCCCATGAAAATCATCAATATTGAAGTTCACGCAATTTGGTAAAATATCAAACGAACAAAATGGACAAAAATCATATTTGGGAAGAGATGAACGAAATTTTATCAAAATCGTGAGTTATATAACCTACCTAAATCGTGAATTTTTAATAGTGATAATTAATTGCCATAGGGTCAAATGAACGATAATTGACGAAAATCATGGGCAATAGCTCATGAAAATCATGAATATTAAAGTACGCATATAATTGCTAAGTGATATTAGTGAAAAATGGAAAAAATCATGGATGGCCCATGGAATCATGAATTTTGAAGCAACTTATTTATTTTTCATTAGGTCGCAGAACGAAAAGTAACAACACTATAATTTAATTCTCATTTGGTTGAACTAACAAGAATAACTAAAATCAAGAGTTATATAATCCATGAAATCCGTGAATTTTTTAAGTACATATAGTTACCTGTCATTGGTTGAATCTAATAAGAATAACTAAAATCAAGAGTTATATAATCCATGAAAACCGTGATTTTTTTAAGTACACATATAAATACCTGCCATTAGATGAAATGTAAAAAAATTGCTAAAATCTTTAGCAACCCCCAAAATCACGAATTTTGAAGAATTCATAATTAAATCTCATTGGATTGAATGAATAATAATGGACAAAATCTTTGGTTAAAGCCCTTGAAAATTGTGAATATTGAAGTTTACACAATTTGCTAAATGGTCGAAACAAACAAAATGGAACAAAATCATGGACTACAATGCATAAATATAACAAAATTTGAACAATGTATATTTATTTTCTATTGTGTTGATGAATGAAAATTGATAAAATTTTGGGTCATAGCCCATGAAAATCCCGATTTTCGATGAAAGAAAATTTGATTGCCAATTGGCCAAAATGATAAAAAAATAAACCAGAATCTAGGTTGTAGCCCGTGAAAATCGTGAAATTTGAAGTACATATAGTTATTTGCCATTAGGATGAAACAAACAAAAAGTTGTGAAAATTGTCGGTTATAGCCCTGCTGCCCTAGCAAAATTGTGAATTTTGAAGTAGTCATAATTAGTTGGCATTAAGTTGAATGAACGATAATGGAAAAATAACGTGGGTACCCATAAAATCGCAAACTTTGAAATACGTATAATTACTTGCAATTGAGACAAAACGGACAAAAATGCCAAAATTATGAGTTGTAACCTCAAAATTGCTAATTATTAAGTAGTCATAATTAATCGCCATCGGATCAAAGAAACAATAATGAACAAAAATCTTTGACCATAGTGCACGAAAATCACGAATATTGATTTTAGTATAGTTAATTGTTAAATGGGTGAAACGAACAAAATGGACAAAACTGTGGACTATGCACATGAAAATAACGAATTTTAAGGTACACATTTATTTATCAATTGGTCGAAGGACAAAAATTGTCAAAATTGTGGGTATAGTCGCCCATGAAAATCGTAAATTTTAAAGTACACATTTATTTTCCGATTGGTCGAAAAGGGTAAATCATCAAAATTGTGGGTTATATAGCCCATGAAAATCACGATATTTTATGAAGGAAAGTTTAACTTCTATTTGGTCAAAACTAAGAAAATAAATAAAAACCGAGGGTTATATCCCATGCAAATTGTGAATTTTAGAATATGTATAATTACTCGCCTTGCATTAATGCCTTGTTCTACACGTGTTGCATAACAATTTTCTGCAGATACCCTCTTTTGGTTTCTTTCCAGATGCGTGTGTAGCGTTGTATATGTTAAATATGTTTACCGATGTGAATATTTCATGCTGCTCCATTATGTTGCTATAAATTAGCTCTTGAGCGTTAAGCTGTCTACTTTCGTAGGAGCTTGAAGGGGTTAATTTTTTAGTTAAAAAACATGAACAAAAGTCTCAAGAAGTATCATTTTCATTTCTTTGACAGGTCAACTTCTTGAAATCCTGTGGTACACTGTTAGAAACACCTATGGAAATTCGAAAAGCATCAGAAAAATCAATAGTCGAGATTTCCACCACTGACAAAGCGTGCAAAAAGCTTCACTGGGATGAGCAGCATGATGACTTATCCAACGCTGCCACTAAAGTCAATGAAGATTCTGATTCCCTAGAAAGTAAAGCTGGAAGGTAAAGCTTCTGCTTCTTGTTTTACCGATTTTCATTATGACTGTTTTTTTGGGAAGAAGTTATATTTTTTAGAAATTGATTCTGAACTGGAGAAAAATCTGCTAAAGTTTAGGAATTCGAAATATTACTTGCTATGTTTTCCATCATTATTTCTTGTGTTATTGAAACGCATTCTTACATTACATTCAACAAAACAACTACTGCAGATTTGGACTTGACTTCACATTTTTATATTTAAAAAATGTATGAGATTATCATTTTGCACATAGTGATAACCGTCCATGATGATTCTTCTGCATCAAATGAATTAATGTATCAAACCATACTCTTATTTACTTTACTGTCGTAGTTTCTCTCTTGAGGAGCGTCAGACCCGGAGGAAGAGTGTGCGATTTGATGAAGAAGTCGATCATATCTCTGGAAATAAATTACTGGATTCTGCAGATCAGAATCTCTCTCCTCAAACTGGGAACCAAACCCAGCAACTTGGTTCGGATCATTCACCATATCCAACTCCACAAAGTTTGAGCGAAGATACGCAGACTCCTAGAACCATTTGTACACCCAAATCGACTGGAAATAATGCTAGGATTCGAACTCAGTATGTCTATCCTATTTCAAATTCTCTGCAGAATTTGTCTTCGTCAGAAGGAGCTCAGATGAGTAATTTTATTCAAGATGGAGAAAAGTCACAGCAGACTTCAGTCGCACTTTGCTCTACAGAATTATCTCCAGACGACAAAACGGTCAACGACCGTCACACAGTTTTTAAGGAGAAAATAGACTTCAACCAAGAAAATCCAAAGCTTGTTGTTTCGAGCTTATCGCAGTGGCTGAAACCGCCGCTAACAAAGGAAGAGAGATGGGAGAAAAGTAATGTAATGAATGAAAGATCTCCTTCTAGTAAAAGTCCTAATGCCGATAGACCAATAATTGGAATGGTTGCAGCACATTGGAAAGAGAACGAACCTTCTAGCATCTCACCTAAGTGGTTTGATGGAAATGGAATTCCAAATTCAACAAACAAATACAAGGAGGTGGGTTTTTTATTATTTTCTCCTGCTCTGCATGTTCTCGGTTCATGTTTTTTTTTTTGAAGATTGTTAGCAGTGAATTTATCAACAGGACCAGAAAGTAAGTTGGCATGCAACACCATTTGAAGAGAGGCTCGAGAAAGCCCTATCAGATGAAAAGCTTTTCCCTCGAAGGTTAGTTGTTGCTGCAA